CTGAATGTGCTAGCCACATAGCGGTCACCTCCTCTGGGGAAATGTTGCTCTACATTAACATGCATCAATTCATAAACTCCTCTTGCATCATTCAGATACTGATGTATGAATCAGTGGTGGGGCTTGATTGAAAATGTTTAATCAAGTTAATTGCGGGGACTGTCGTAGAAAGCCACATACATTGGTAAAATAAGCAACACTTTCAATTCTGAAATCCTTTTTTATTGCTAAATTATTGAATAGCTAGACACACAAGCCCATCAGCAAGGATGTTTATTGTTTTATTAAAGTTGTTCCATCATCAAATTAGTGCAAAGTGCTATTCTAGACATTCTGTTTTCCAGTATTTCAAGGACCTGATCATTCATAGAACTTCTTTAGAAATGTGAACGGTAGTCGTTGACATTAGCATTGTGCTGCTCCAACATGTTTAGCATAAACATGCTATTTCAGGTTTGAATAGTGTCGCTAATAGGCTCACTCTATTTAGCACAATGTGAACACAACAATAGTCTTTTCTAGCATCCAAACAGATTTTTTTTAAGCACAAGTGAACCCAAAGTGGGCCAGGAGAAGCGACTTCATTCATTGCTGTTTGCTGTTGTAACTTGTGCGTCAGATTTGTGGGTTTTCCAGAAACATGCAGATACAAATGTTCCAGCTCAGGACTTTTGTTTCCAGATAAGGACAGACATCACTGTCTAATAAAACTCTTTGCATCATTTTAAATCAGATGTTACACCTCAGGAATCGCTTGACGGAGAATTTGAGCATAAACAATTGGTGTAATTAGTTTGCGTCATGACTTTGAAGAGGTTTCCTTTTCTTATGATTTCATTTTAAAAAAGAAATCTTATTCTTTCATAATTTTCTTTTAGTTTTCCAATAGTTTATTTTATACCTAGAGAATGAATGGCTTGTCAGCCATCCCTGTTTTCACCTGGAGATTCTATCTGGTGTCACATCAGCTCCTCGCGTCATGAATTAGCAGGAATCCTGTTAGCGCGTTGCCGTCTTTGCAGGTCCTCCAGTTGCTGGCGTGCACAAAGCGTGAGGCGCCATCCAGATGGCCCTCCCAGATGGATGCTGTGGTCTTAGCAGAGATTACCTTCCTCTGTTCCAGTCCCTGTGACGCTCCTTAAGACTGCAGGAGCCCCGTGACACACTAGCCTAATTACTGTGCTAACTCACCAAACATGGAATCACAGCTATTTTGCTTTGTTCACTACTGGAAGGTAGCTAGTATGCTGTCAACCTACATCTGTTAATATACTTGTGTGGCCAAGTGATTGATTAAAAGTTAGGCAAATCTGAGGCAAGGAAACGGATGAGTTGAATAGCAGTGGGACGATGTGGGCTAACGCTAAGTGGTTTATCAGTAGCAGACTCCATCCTCTGCTCCATTGATACGGCAAGCTAAGGTCAACTCATGCTGTCTGCTCTTTGGCAGAGCAGAGGTCTTAGGAGCAGATTAGCACTCTCCAGTTACCAGAACACACACACCCACACACTCCCCCGCGGAGCCACGTGCTAGTCGTTTGGTCCAAGTTTTACGGTTATGATTTGTGAGGTTCTGGAGTAAAGAAAATGTTGGTTTTATGACATTTAAATGAATGTCATGAAACTTTGCAACAGTGAAGCTTAGATGTTAAAATGTCCCTTAGAGATCTCCAGATTTATATTGTCTGCATCATGAAGATATTTTATGATTCAACAGTGTACTTTTAGTGATAAGAGAGGAAAAAATAGAAGTTGTGTGTCATGTTTTTCCATCAAATGAAGTTTGGTTGCTCCAGGCTTGAATGCCTTCCAGTGTAGTTTGTGGTTTTCATTTAAAATTAGATGTCTACTATTGCCGATGACACATTTGTGACGGTCATGCTCATCTCTGAAAGCTTTCTACTGTAATGTAGATTCAGGTTTAATGGAAACAAGCATGGGATTTACATAATTGTCGTCTCTTGTGTCACTTTAACCTGTGGTTTTCTGCACCAAGCTTTTAGTGTCGGGATTGGCGAGTCCATCCAGCTGCTCCTGACCAACAAAATGCGAGCATTAACACTGGCAGAAAATGACGGGGGCTTCACATGTGGCTTTGAAGAGACCTCGGTTGACATCAGAGCAGTCTTTGAAAGTCTGTTGCTGCTGTAAGATGGAAAATCTCCCGGGTGTGGGCAGGACTTGCATCACTGGGGAATTTAAACTAATAAAAGGGCGCCTCGTTGGCTTTAACTGTTTACTTCCTGATGTCTGGTAACAGAGAGCTATATTCAGCCTGATTTAGTCACTTGTTGCAAAATCTATCAGACTAAATCATTCAATTTGTTTTTTGTGTTTTTGTTTTTTTCAAAAATAGCTTTTGTGTTTATAACTGCCTCATTTTCTTAGAGGTAAAAAAACAACCCATTTTGCTTAAGCACTGCCAATCAATTTCATTCAGTTTCTTAGTCGAGGATTATTAATTTCATTGACAATTGCAAAGAAAAATAATCATACCGTTTATGGTTGCTGATACGTCGTCATCAAATTTTTTCTACATCCAGTAGGTGTAGAAAAAATTTGGCAGGAGGCTTTTTGGAAAACATTGACTGATTTAGTCCAGGTTGACACTTTAGATGCAGAACATTACTGTAACATTCAACTTTTTGTATGAATAAATAATAAGCTCTGGCTTTTTCATTCAGTGTAAAGTGTTTGTTTTGCTTCAGTTTCCTCATGAGATTCAGTTTCATTTGGTAAATGGGGAACAAAGTGTGAAGAAAATCCAATATTTCTCAATAGAATCCTCATTGCTTGATATTCTAATATCAAGCAGTTGTAAAAAAAAATATTCTCAAATGTCAAATTGAATTAGTTTTACTGTGTGTTAATTTGTACTTTTTGTATTATGCGACAGAAGCCCCTTCCTGGAGCCTCATCGCCACCTTTCTCGCAGTAGATTACAGAGCAGTATTATAAATCAGGGGTTGTCGGAGCAGGTGTGAATGTCTCCAGGGTGGGTGTTAGTTGGCGTGTGGTTGGTGGTCGGAGCCAATCACAACAGCAAAAGCTGACATGAGTTGGGAGCCACGCTGGTTGACTGTGTTCTTGTTTCAAGCTTTAGGTTTGCTATTTTAAGCGGGAACACGATTGAGTCACCGGACAGAAACACTCACGCCCACGATGAAACAAAATGAGTGGGCGAGTAGCCTAACTGGGGATGTTTGAGCTCTGCTTTGTACTGTGTATTAGAAAATATTGTTCTAACACACACTCCTTTGTAGAAAACTTTCATGGCAAGGAAAGACTATTGATTGATAGTCTTTTTTTTCTGCTATACAACAGAAAAATGGTGTTTCTGTTGTTAGCATTCTAGGGCTCAATTAAAGTCACCCCTACCCACCTGTCAGAGATCATATTTGATGTTCTCTACCCACCTGACTCCTTAAGCATCTTAGTACCTAGAAATGGCATCATTAAAGTGACTATATATAACTTCTAGAAAAATATGTTTTTTCCATATTTATTAAAACTGTCATCATGTCCTGACTGTGTAACACGACACAGGTAATCTGTGTAAAGATCAATCTCCTCTTCCTCCTCCCAGCGCTAGTCCTTTAAGAAATACACAGCGCTCATCCAAAAACAACCAATCAGAGCCAGGAGGAGGGTCTTAGTGCTGCCAATCACCCCAGTGTACGCAATGTAACTAGCTATTACAGAAAAATTATTTATTTACCGTTATGCTAACTAGCCTCAGCATTCATGGCAGGATCAGTAGCATTGCAGAGAGCCAGGAGACGAAAACAGCAGCGAGGACACAAGCATGATTAACAGTGATAAGCTCTGCCAATGGACTCTGACTAGTTGTTTCCTGTTAGCACTGGGAGAAGCCAGACTAGCTGAATTTTTCCATAAAAGTTACGTACCAATTTGATGCCCTTCTGCTTTGTTGGGGCAATTTTCAAAAAACAAACTTTTAATTCGGTGGGATCAAACTCCAGTGTTAAGAATTTTTTTTTTTTCCATCAAATCTGCTGTAGCAACATTCCTGAACCCCCTAAGAGTTTAATGTTAAAGCAGCTGAAGCTTTTCAATATGCACTTTGTCCTTTGAAGTTGATCAGAGTGCTGGAAAATTTTAAGTCAGTAACTCAGCACATATTGTTTTTCTTGGGTATGAGCATAACGTGACATGAAAAAGCCTCATGAATTTTGAATGAACTAAAGACAGGAGAGTTTTTGCCTTTTTCTGGAACTGGATATCTACTCAGAAATCAGCGACTTGGACGATTTAACTAAATGACTGCGCGATCAAAGGGAAATAAATGTCAGTCTCATGATTTGGTTTAAGTGTGAAAATGTGAAATGGTGAGGTCAGGGTGAAAGCTGCTGATTGATATAAAAAAATGTTCAGCCAGTTTAGGTGGTGGAGCAGGGGGAAAAAATCCTTGTATCCTAAGGTAGAATTATTTTCTGCTGACTGGAATCAAACCACAGGCTGTATGTAAACTCACCATCAGCAGTAATAATGCAGAACAGATGCAGGGAACACAAAAACGTACAGAAACTGTTTGGCAACCTCCTTTTTTCCACAAAAATACAGCAGGAAAAGGAATAACGCAGTAGGATAGTTTATCTTTCTTTTATCTGTATGTAAAGCTAATTCCCAAATCATACACTCAACTCTTTTTTTTTCCTTTCTTGTGGTCAATTTCAACTTCTCCTACGGCTGATAAATGGAGCCAAAGGAAAATGACTCTTAATTCAATCACAGAACTGAGCTGAATTATTATCCGCCGTATTTACAGGCAAATCAGGACCGCTCGAATTCCTGATGAGAACCGATCGCAGCTCCCAGGAATACGAGATGATGAAGTGTGTGTTTTTTGGATGTCCTAAAAGGTGTTTTGATTGGAAGGCGTCTGCTTTCCTTCGTCATTTTTAGGAACCGTGCACTCAGTCTGACTTTTTTCCTCCTCTCTCTTTTCCTCCCTTTCTCCCCTCTCGCTCTCTTTTCAGGGACATCAAACCCGACAACATTCTGCTGGATATGAACGGCCACATCCGCCTGGCCGACTTCGGCTCCTGCCTCAAGCTCATGGAGGATGGGACGGTAGGTTTTGACTGCGCCGCTGCTGCTGTTGTTCCTCCCGGTCCAAAGGAAACAATACCAGAGTTTGACTAACCTCACTGCCTTAACCCCGGGGGTCTCCCATGAGGAGTGTGCGGTTTGGCTGCTTGGCCTGACTTGCAGGTTGCAATTCAGACGATTCTCCTGATGTTACAGGAAGGAAAACTGAAGAGATGAAATGAAAGATTACAGGGCGGAAAATGCTAATACCCAGGACGACTGCTCCAAGTCTGAAAGTAGGAGAAAGTAATGCAGACTCCAGTTACCCCCCAAAAAAATAAGATTCCTTGTTTTAATCAGTTCCATTAATCCATTTAAATGGTGTTTATGTTTAAGAAAATTCGAGAACATGAGGAAAGGAAATCGGTGTTCACCCACTTCAAAATAAAAGCATGGATATGCTATTTGAAGAGCTCTTGACGGTTGATGAACAAAACTTCAACACAGAACTTAATTCAACTGAGTTTACAGAACATCAAAGCAAAGCAGCGCTTTAGAGTCCGTGTAACGCTTTCAAAATTAGCAAAAAGCGATAAAGCGTCAAATGAAAGATTAGCTTCCTGATTAGCTGTTCTGACTGCAGACGCTCTGAAAACTACAAGCTATGTATAGAGGAAATCAAATGTTTTTGTGAAAGATTGGAATTGTGCCATTCAGAGTGTGGTGAAAAAAGTCAGATATGTCACATCTGAGCAAAAAAATCTGATTTGTGTGATTGTGGGGTGTGTTTATGTTCACGCTCTCTCCGCTGCGTTCCATTCAGTGGACTCATTGGGTCCTAATGGATGTTTTGCTTTCCCCTGCCAGGTCCAGTCCTCTGTGGCAGTAGGAACTCCAGATTACATTTCCCCCGAGATCCTCCAGGCGATGGAAGACGGGAAGGGCAAGTATGGACCCGAGTGCGACTGGTGGTCCCTGGGCGTCTGCATGTACGAGATGCTGTACGGGGAGACTCCTTTCTATGCAGAATCCCTGGTGGAAACCTACGGGAAAATCATGAACCATAAGGTGAGCCGACTGGAGTTCAGCGCAGCCGTCCGGCAGGTTTCGTTTGTTGTTTTCTCACACTCTCAGCTGTCTGATGTCATTTCCTTTTCACAGGAGCGATTCCAGTTCCCACAGCAGATAACAGACGTGTCGGAGGAAGCGAAAGATCTGATTCGCCGCCTCATTTGCAGTCGGGAACACAGGCTGGGTCAAAACGGCATTGAGGACTTCAAACAGCATCCGTTTTTCACTGGTACACACAGAGTCCTTCCTCATCCTGCCCTTACGTGAATATAAATGAATACCTGACATCACTTATACCTCAATAGCATAAAATACATATAATAAGTTATTATTACATCATTTTAATCAGAATTCATTGTGTCATTGTGTGGTGTTCTTAATTGTACCAACTCGTGTTGTTGCTGCTTTCAGGCATTGACTGGGACAACATCCGTACGTGTGAGGCCCCTTACATCCCAGAAGTCAGCAGTCCTACAGATACCTCTAACTTTGATGTAGACGACGACTGTCTAAAGAATTCGGTAAGGTCTTATTTAGTGAAACATGTGACCTTATGTGCAGTACTTTTTATATTTTAATCACCCATTTCGCTTGTTGTTTCCTGACTTTCAGGAGACTATGCCTCCTCCCTCTCACACTGCCTTCTCTGGCCATCACCTGCCGTTTGTGGGTTTCACCTATACAAGTAAATGGTAAGTGTGATCCTCTGAGTCACTACCAGATTCAGGCTGTGGTGATGTGTGTGTTTTTGAGTTTCTGTGATGTGTGTGTTCAGTTGGTCCTGAACTGGAAAGTGTGTTCCTGTTAAAATAAAAGGTGTCATTTTTTTCTTCAATAAAAGGCTTGTTTCTTGCTTTCTTTTTTCTGTTTATTTTGCTGTCTGTTTTTCTCTCCATCTTTATTTTCTTTCTTTACTTCTGTCTTTGTCCATAGCACTTTGTTGCTAAAAATGTGCTATAAAAATAATTTTACCTTTACCTTACATCTTTCTTAAATTCTACATTTTCTGTTCATATTTCTTTCGTTGCCAGTCTTTTTCTTTTTTTTTATGTCTGTCTTTCTGCCTTTTTTCAGTGTTTTTTCTCTATCCCTCTTTTCTTCTTTCCTTTCTTTGTTTTTCTTTCTTTCTCTCTTCCTTCCCTTCTGTTTTTTTCTCTCATTTCGTCAATCTTTCTGACACGTAAAGCACACATTTATTTTGGAACCAGTTAATTCTGATACACCTAATGACTTAGTCTTCCTAAACTGATAGTCCAGGAAAGGAGAGCGTTAGTCAGAGAATCAGGGTTACCTCCATGGTAACTCTGGTGGAGCTTCAAAGAATCACAGCTCAGGTGGGAGAATTTGGTGAAACCCTGAATTAGTCTAATTTTCACCGTTTACTTACCCTGTAGTTCCCTATCGGACCGGGGCTGCCTCCGACAGCTGGCCGTGGATCCAGGCAAAGCAGGGCAGGAGCAGTTGGACCTGGATGTCCAGCGCAGGCTGGAGGATAGTCTGGCCACCGAGGCCTACGAGAGAAGGATACGTCGTCTGGAGCAGGAGAAACTAGAGCTGAGTCGCAAACTGCAAGGTGAGCTTCTGCCGATGCCTCATCTGTTCTTAGCGTATGGTGGTGAATTCAACCTCCACTGGTCCAACAAACCCGGTCGTTCTCCCCTTTACAGAGTCGACTCAGGCTGTGCAGGCCCTGCAGCACCCAACAGGCGAGGGACCAGTCAGCTCCAACAAGGAAGTGGAGATCAGGAGCCTCAAGAGCGAGATCGACATTCTCAAGAAGCAGATCGCAGGTCAGGGTGTAAAAACAGACTGCCTTTGCAGAAACCCACACTGAAAGTCAAACTTTATGTTCTCACGCAAACGCATCCCCGTGTCAGACTCAGGCCAACTGGAGAAGCAGCTGGAGGACGTGACGTCAGCGCGCAGGGACCTGGAGGACTCGTCCAAACACATCAAGAGTCTGGAGAAGCAGATGAAAAGCATCACACAGGAGAGGGACGACTTACAGAAGGTAAAAACACTCGGTTCTGCTGCTCGTCTGATTTTTGTTTCACGTTTTCTGACCTATTTGGTGATGGAAGATTTTTCCTTTAAGAATATTTCTACACTTTCACTGCATCCGTAATCCAATCTGTATGAACAGGGATCCTGGAAAAGGCTTAAAATGTTTTACACTAATGTATCCAAAAAGAAGGCCTTAAAATTTCATTAAAAAAATGTAATTACGCCTTAAATATGCTAATCGCAAGTCTTAAAATTTTGTTGTGGTAGAACAATTTACTCTGTACGTAGTTTAGTTTTTTGCTGGACTTTTCTGTTTGGTGTCAATTTGAGCCGCAAGCCGACATCTTGAGTGCTAACTAACTGCTAGCATACCTTTGCTATCCAGTTAGGCTTTTTGCGGCCATCATCAGTAAGTGTAGATTTATCGGCAGTTGGCTAACAAATACAAGGCTAGCTGCATTCTGTCCAAAAAATCTGCAGGGGGTTCAGTCTGTAGAGAACATTGCAAAATATGAAATTTTCTTCTATAAATTTCTATCATGGTTCAAGTCTTAATGGTCTCATGTGTAATGGTCTTCAAAAAGTCTTTAAGAGTCTTACATTTGATTTGGTGAAACTTGCAGAAACCCTGATGAAGATGGCTTTTTTTGGTAAACGTTGAACTTCAAAGTTTTTTTGAAGATGTTATATAATTCCCGTTTCTCTCTCCGCGCTGAGCAGGGCCTTGTGGAGGCGGCTGAGAAAATGAAGTCCCAGTCTAAAGAGCTGAAGGACGCCCACAGCCAGAGGAAGCTGGCCATGCAGGAGTTTTCTGAGCTCAATGAGAAGCTGACAGAGTTCAGGTAGAACTTTTCCTGGACTGATTGTTTTGCCCGGAAACGTTTTTTTTTCTTTCTTTTCCTGTGCACAAAACCAGCAACCTTCAGATTTGAACTGTCCTGGCAGGTCTGCAAAGCAGCGCCTGGTTCGCCAGCTGCGCGACAAGGAGGAGGAGATGGAGAGCCAGAATCAGAGGGTGGAGGCTCTCCGCCTTGAGGTGCGAAAGGCTGAGAGGGCCAAGAAGGAGGTAGAGTAGATTCCCTGTGATTGGTAGCAACACCTTTCTCTGTCTGCACCTGCTGGTCGGTAAACACGTCAACCTCTGGTTAGCCTTCCACTTTTATTGCCTTTCCTCAGATACGAGGCGTGGCTTTCTTTAACTCTTTAGTTTCACTCCCAAGTCCCGACACCATCCATAGTCAGAAAAGCAGTAGAATATAGTCACCAAATGAAAAAAAATATTTCATTTTTTTGTGTAGCATAGTTAAAGATGTTTAGTTGTGCATGTCTCTAGGTTAGTGTTGTTTTCTCTCAACGTTCCTAAATGGTCTGGAAAGAATGTGGAATTAAAGTATTTTCTAAGATTGGGGAAGTATGGAAAAAGAAAATGAAGCAGAAAAAATGTATTTCCAGATGTTTGTTTCCACCTATCCATCCATCTGTCCATCCATTTATCCAAACTTTGCTTAAAGGGGCAGTATTATGTAAAATCGACTGTTTTGAGCTTTACATCATGTTATTACCTCATCAAAAACGTACCTGGAGTGTTGCCTTCATTCTTTCATATATGTTTGAGAAGTCCTCAAATGTTGAGCGGTTAATAGTGGAGCCATATTGTGATGACTTCCTGCAGGTGGAGTTTCAGAAAGAAAGGGAGCTTCTTAAAGAGACAAAGACCCAAATTAAGGCGTTAAGTTGCAAAATAGTCATTTTATATATATTAAATTTTTATAATAACTGAACATAACACAGTTACTGTACTGCCCCTTTAAGAAATTAGTTTTAATGCTAAATGTATAGGAATCATGTTCAGGAAGTCATATCAGCTGAACGTTGGTCTCCAATCAGTCTGTATTTGTCCATCACCAGATGGAGGTTCAGGCTGAGGAGCAAGCCGCTGAGGCTCAGAAAGAGAAGAAGCTGAGAGAGCGCAACGAGCAGTACAGCCGCCAGCTGGAGGAAGAACTGGAAGGACTTAAGGTGAGGATGCAGCGCAGCATGCCCCATCCCAGGAATCCTGTTGCCGCTCTGTTTTTAAATCTCTAATTGTTTCGGCTCTCCAGGTGAAGCAGGTCGGCTCCCCGGCCGCTCCGGCTTCAGCTGACCAGACGCAGGAGGTGGGGCGTCTGCGAGCGGAGATGGAGAAGAAGACGCTGCTGTACGAGGAGGAGCTGGGGCGCAGAGAAGCGCAGCACAGCACCGAGCTCAAGGCGCTGCGCAAAGAGCTGAGGGACGCTGAGAGCCAGCAGCTCAACCTGCAGAAAGAGATCCTGATGCTGAAAGACAAACTGGACAAGATCCGCCGGGAGAGGTGAGACTGTCCCTCTGTCTCTGATCTGGCTTGATAATCAGCAGTCTGATCTGATCAAGAATTTTCATTTTTGTTTTTTTTTTTACAGTGGTGATACTGTGAGGTAATTACAGAAAGACGTCTAACATATCCAGATAAATAGCTGTGATGTATTGGCTGTAGTTTCCCCAGAGGTTCCTGTCTACTTTTTAAGCATGTTGTATACGGAACATCAAAAGAGACAAAATTAAATAAATATATCATTGAATCACTAATTAAATATGAAAAGGAAATACATAAATTCTTAATTAAATATTTAATATGTCATTAAATCATTAAAATGCAAATTTATATTGGTAGCTCTGTCAAACTCGCCCATCACAATTGATGGGTGGAGCTAAAATTAGTTCAGCCTCATTTTTGGAAAATCATCTTCAGATAGTAGATATTCACAATCTTTTCCTTGGAGATATTTTACAATTAACAGACTAGATGGAAAGTGGAATCATTTTCACAGAATCAGGCTGAACTTCAATCAGTTTTAGCCCCGCCCATAACCCCGCCCCTCAACTTTGATGGCGAGTTTGATAAGCTCAAATTATTTCATGGTGATGCTACAAGAACCATAAAATATTTAAGTACACAATTAATTATGTTCATCCACTATTATAATCTTGCATCTTATAGATTTTAATAAAATGTTTTATAAAATGTGTAATACAGAATTTAAACCTTTAATTTACCATTTAATTGTTTTATGGTATATTTAATAAATTATTTAACAATGTTGTTTATTTAATTTAGTCCCTTTTGACATTCCGTAGTTAGATACTTGTATGAACATTAACACCGTCACAGAGATGGCTGCCCTAATCTGATTTGTTGGCACAAATAATATAATTTTTATCTTCTCAAGGCTTCACCAAACTATTCAGCTGCTTCGGGCCCCAGAACTGATCTGGGGCATCTGTGAGTCACAACACTGCTTTTTGTGTTGCAAATCTCTGCGCTCTGTGTGGGCTAGCAGGGGGTTCTCACACTACGATAGCCTCCAGTAAAACCGCCGCACTATTGTGACATTTAGGCAAAACAAAAAGGATGACGATGGTGGCTGTCCTTTTAGTTTCCACACTATGGCGTGTCTGTACGTTTTGATACTGGAAACGTTTTCTGTAAATTCCTGTGGAACGCAGCCAGCTAACTGACTTTGCTTATGGATCCATGAAAGTATAATTATATCGACTCCGATTTCCTTCATTTTGGGTGATCAGCCAATATTTAAAGACAGGAGTTACCACGGCTGTTTTTTCAGACAAAGTAAATCTGAATCGCCATTTTAAAAATGAGTGATCGGCCAGAAAACTGCAATCGGTGCACCCTTAGTGTACCAATTGCACCAGGGGACGATATTTAGTGAAAATATCTTCCCAGGATGGAAGATATTTTCCTGTTGTATTTTTAGAAGTAGTTGTTTTTACACCCCACATTTCTACACGTACTAATACTCTAGCATATTTTAGCTGTAAAGTCCATTAAGAACATGGTCAACACTACAGGTGGTCTCCAAAACGACTTCTGTTGAACAAGCAAAGAAAAACCCCTTCGCAATAGAAGACGTAATCGTTAGTGAATTTTACCCGTCAGCAAGCGTTTTCCAGAACGGCATTCAGCCTGTCAGAAAAAATAACCTGACACCACATGATTCACATTCAGGAAGCTTTAGAGGTTGTTTTTTAGCCTCATAGACTTACCTTCCTGCCTGCTGCTGCTGATGTATTATTTTCACGGCTGCCTAATTCCTTTTTAAACACACCGCTGGATCAGCTTCTAATTGCATCGAAGTGTCGGGCTTAAAATACAAGCGGACAGCTTTCGGTTCAGTCTTTGATTCAGCCGCGACTCTCAGGAACAAAGAGAGTCACAGTTTAAAGAAAAGTCGAGCCCAAACACTCGGCTGTATATTTACAGAGTTTATTTGAGGAATATTTTCCAATGCAACCACAGCCAGAGTTCAGGATCTCACTAACAGATGGGGGTTAAGTTCCTACAGTAACGAAGTGTGTGTGTGTCTGTGTGTTTTGTTTTTGTTTTTTTGCAGCCAAAACGAGCGTGAAGAGTTTGAGACGGAGTACAAGCAGAAATATGAGCGTGAAAGAATCCTCCTCACTGAGGAGAATAAGAAGCTGTCCAGTGAATTAGACAAGGTACAGTATGTGTTCCTGTGTCTAACAGAAGTCATTATGAATTCATATGAAACAGCTTTTATTTTTCTTTTCTGTCGTGCATTGTCAGCTTTTCCATGATTTGTTTGTCCCCCATTACACACAGTCACTCTGAGACCCTCCTCCCACCCCCAGTGCTGTAACCCCAGGTAACCCTTCTTGGAAAGCCTGTCACATTCCTCCCTCCACCCCCTCTCTCCCAGCTATGCCAAAGAAATCACTGTACAATATTCCGCTCACAAACAGCCTGTAGCCGGCCGCACAGCCACGGATCTGGCTGTGTTGACTTTGGAACCGGCTCCTGGAAGTTCAAAAAGCTCGTCCCCCTCCCTCCCTCCTCGGCCTCCCACTTTAAACGGTCTCTAATAACTGGGAGGCATTCTGACCTGTGGAGTACAATCCGAGTATGTTTTTAAAGTCTGTAAGTGATAAAACACAGAGGGAAATCAGGAGAATCACATGGCTGCCACTGCAGTCGTATCACTAAAACGTGTTGTAGGTTTTTGAATCGCATTGGATTGATTAGATCTGAAAACCAATGAATACCTTGTTTTCTCCTCTATGATGAACGACCTAATTGCTTTCAGGATGTCTGAGTGTCATTTAAAAGTCTTAAGATGGAGAAGATAAATTATTTTGTAAATTATGATAAAACCTTTTCCTCCGTTTTGGTTGTGGTCCATGTTCAAACCAGCCGACAATAAAATACGACAATTCAAACTGGAAGAACTTTAAACAACTTCCTGCTGATCGATATAATTTATTTTCAGTCACATAAAGTCAGTTTCAATACAATAAATTGTGAACAGAATGTTCCAGATTAAAATCATCACTTCTCAGCAGTGCTTTAATTTCAGACACATCCAGCAGTTCATGGCATCATTTCAACCATGAAAATTAAATATGAAGCAGCTGAAATATATGAAGTGGCAAAGGGATGGCGTGACCAGCACCCACCTTTGGGATTGTAAAACATTCACAAGCAAGTGTTTTCCAGCTCCCTAAATCTTTTCTATCCAGTAAAGCTACCAAGAAGCTTCACATCTCTATAATTACTGACTGCTGGTCATTTCATCACCTGGCAGAACCTTTAAAATGCCTCTAAAAGCCATAATTACAATGACCTCAGTGCGTCTGGATGTGAGGTCATGATTCTTCGCGACCCCACGCAAAGACCCAGGGTTTTTTTTCTACAGCATCTGTGAAGCTTTTCTGTTCTGACATGAGACGGGACCGGTGCTCTGGAGAGGAAACCCAAAACAAGAGAAAGTTGGTCTTTACTTGCTCGTCGCGTCACAATAAATGTGTCCGCAAATTACAGAGGATTGAGAAAAACAGGCAGGCAGATTGAGACCTGCATTGATGTCGCCATGGTAACATCTACACAAACACACACAAACCCCTATCGCTGAAAGGAATCAAAACAGAGTCTTCTTAACGTTGGTGTGTAAACGGACGGACTCGGAGTTCTAATGCGGTCTTGTTGAAGTCTGCTAAACTCATCAGCCCACTTTTATTTCAATGCACTTCATCAGTCGGATGTCAGTCGTCCGGCGACAGCTTTATGATTGGACTTGTTTTCTGCTGCTCTCCCCCAAGTTGAGCGGGATGTTTGAGAAGGTGAACATCTCCAACCAGCAGCTGGAGGACGAGATGAGGGAGCTGGCTGACAAAAAGGAGAGCGTGGCCCACTGGGAGGCCCAGATCACCGAGATCATCCAGTGGTAAGACACAGCCGCCTTCTCAAGTGACCCAAAGCGCAGCCCTGACAGGCCTCTTACTTTTCCGCTCGAGCTACGGCGCAGCAGCACACACACACTCAGACAGATTGGGTTCCTCTTCACTGTAAAGCTGCGGCGTGTCTCGCATAGCTCTGAAGATGGTCGAGCCGCTTGACCCTCCCTTCCTCTCAGATCGTCTCCCATCACAGCTGACACTTCACCAACTACTCTACCCTCCCACTCATCTCCCCTCTTCTCTGTTGGACGGGCCTGAAGTCTTGGCATAGCGCGCATACCCCACACAGACAGGCTGAACCACAAGAACACGCTTTCAGCTCCATAGCCGCAACGCATTCCTGACATGCACATACAAATGTTGAGCTGGGGTCCTTTCCTCTGGAGGAATCTGGTAGCCAGTGTCGCCCTCTGCTGGTGGAGCTTCGCCACGGCACAGGAGGAGCTGCATGTCTGTAGGAGTTCAGTTATTTCTCAGTAGACATTTAGAGCAAATATTTTTCTGGAATTTTTATTTTTTCTTAACCTTTACTGGTGAGAAAAATGTCCTAATATTGCAAGACAAAGTTGCACAACAGTAAGCCAAAATAATACAAGAAAAAAGCCAGAATTAGACAAGAATAAAGTTATTTTTTAAGAACAGTCATAATAATACGAACAGGAATTCAATTGTAATTTTACAACTTTCTTCTGGTGTTTTTATTCTGCCAATATTCTGACATTATTCTCATAATTTAACAAAAAAAAAAATTCTCTTCGTCTGACCCCAACACTCCATCATATTACACAAATAAATTTCCATTGCTTTTTTTCTGGGTGTCTCTAAACACCATTTACTGAACCAAACTGAATTTAATTGATCACCTTTCAAAATTCTGAGCAAGAGTCAATATTCTGTAGTCGTTTTCTTTTAAAAAATGGAGCAGTTTTTAATTGAGGATGTTTGTGTGTGTGTGTGTTGCAGGGTGAGTGATGAGAAGGACGCCCGGGGTTACCTTCAAGCTTTGGCCACTAAGATGACCGAGGAGCTGGAGGGTCTGAGAAACACCAGCCTTGGCGCGAGAGCAACGGTAAACAAACACACATACTGTTTTTGTCAAAAGAACTGCTATGTTATTGTTGTAGCCTTACGGTACTTGATGATGGTTTATGAAAGTATTATTTCTGACATGGCTCATTTCACAAGAGCGGATATTAATAAAACCCATCCAAGCCATTTTCTTGGCAGCAACATTTATATAAAACGTTTGTCCGAACCAGAGTTTCCGTTAGACATTCATAAACTGCTGCTCCGAAATTAATCAGTTCAGCAGAAAAAGCTACATAACTTCATACAGCTTCAAAAATCTCTCAAAATCTCTGGTTTTGTTCCCCATATGCAGCATTTTTGGTGAAACACTTTGCTAATAAAGCATGTTTTACTCTCTGTTGTGATATGACTTGTTGATCATCTTGATCTTTACATATTTCACACCAAAATAGATGCTGTGATTTTTGAAGTTTGGCTTAAAAGCGTATCATTTCCTCTGTGATTCAGGACATGCCGTGGAAGATGCGACGCTTCGCTAAGCTGGACATGTCGGCTCGCCTGGAGCTGCAGTCGGCGCTGGACACGGAGATCAAAGCCAAGCAGAGCATCCAGGACGAGCTGAATAAAGTCAAGGCGGACGGCATCTCCACCGAATGGTACACCTTTCATTAGCGTTAACAGCCTAGCTTACTGTAAGCGACTCCCTGAACCAAATGTGATTCATTCCAGTAAACTGAAGGAGGTGGAGAGTAAAAACCAGGAGCTGCTGGCTGAGATTGAGAGGCTGAAGAAGGAGACGGAGGAGCTCCGGCTGCGAAGAGGTACGGCCTCATCCCTGAACTCTAGCTTTTACTGTAGATGTTTCTGGTATTTACCGGGGCAGTATCATGTAAATTGACTTTTTTGAGTTTTACCTCATGTTATAATGTTATTCCTTTATCAAAAACATACCTGGAGTGTCGCTTTGATTCCTTCATCCTTTAAAGTGGGACCTAACCCCACCTCCAAGGCGCAGCTCTTCCTTGGAGCTGCAGTTTCCAAGCTTCAGACCCACTCAGTTCCTTCAGACTAGCCAGCAGCAATTAGCAAACACCTGGTGGAACTGAATATCTGCTGAACTCATTGGAGGAGCTACTTCTCAGTGAAATGCTGATAAAAGAAGTTGTGAAAAGGTTAATACGGGAGTCATGTGATGAATTCCTGAAGGTGGAGTTTTTAAAGAGACAGAGGCCTGATTTCTTTTAAATCATATTTGATATATAAAACATTTTTTATGACAACTGAAGGAAACAGTTACTTTATTGGGCTCAACTATAGCACTATAATACTGGTTCTTTAAAAATGCGCCTTTTGATAATGACAATGGCCTTCTTTTGAGCTGTGTGTTCATGGATACCACATTTCTTCAGAGATTACCTCAGTGAAAGAGGATTTGGCTTTGCTCCAGCACACATATGTGAGACATAGTGTTGAGCTCGCGACACAAACATGCATTGTTGCTCCAGTCATATGAAACCTGCTCTGCGTTCTTAGAAACAGTCCTGTGACCCGTTCTGTCTCAGTCGGCCTTTGATGCTCTAATTCCTGACCACAGTGGTGTTATTCGCTCCGGGTCTATAGGTGTCAAGCACCAGGATTCCCAGAATTCCTTCCTGGCTTTCCTCAACGCCCCCACCTCGGCCCTCGACCAGTTCGATGTGAGTTTGAATAAAGCCGCTGTTATCTGAAATGCTAACAATCATCTTATGTTGCCCACATGCTTTTTATTGAGGTGAATTCTTCTGATTTTATTTTTTTATTTGTTTTTGGTTGCTTTCTTTGCGTCACTCTGGTACATCAGGACTCTTATTCCTCATCCTCATCTTCTTTAATTGAGTTTTGGGAAGATGTAAGTTTAATCGTGGGTGTGTTATAAACCTATATAGATGTAGCTTTACCTTTTGGACAATGAAAGGGCATCCATGTTGGTTTAGGAAGAGGTATGTTCATTATCTGTTCATAACAGAGCTCAGAATCTACCAGCTACTTGATTATATTCTCCTTTTGCTGTTCATTAGTTTGTTAAAACCGTAGATATAGCACCACCTTATGTTTACTTTCCCTTACTTCCTTTTCCCTGTAATTGTGTTTTTTACATCAGTACCCATTTTAGTTCCCATCAACAGCACCCCTCTATTGTACAAACAATAATCTAATGCAGTGCTTACCAACTGAGACCCATATAACTGAAATATTGAATACATCTATTGTAAAAACCTCACTGTGTTGCTGAAAACATTTGAGTGTTTCAGACAAACAAGTTTTGCTAAGCATTGCTTAATGTCACCGAATCCTCCCCACTCTCCCATCATCACGTTTCCTCCCTCAGTTTGTTGAAATGTGTTTTCAGCTGCACAATATTCACCGCTGTGTGTCTCTGTCACTCTGCCTCTCTTCCTGCCACTGAAGCGCTCGCCGTCCGTCGGCCCGACTAAAGGCAGACGTGTAAGCACCGCCTCTGCAGCTCCTCTCTCAATGTGCCGTCTCGCTTCCTGTCGGTTGATCTGCGTGTGTGTCCGGCCGTCTGCATGGCAGGGGAGAAAAACTTTGTCTGTGTCCTGTTGTGAAGTATTCACATCTGTTGAACTTGACATTTTGGTGCTTAGAGTAGCTTGTTACTGTAAAGTGGAAGAATGACATTCAGCCCCTTTTGACTCTGATACCCATAACAGTGTTCCTGCAGGTTTCACCAACTCAAATATAAGACTTTTTAAAGAAAGTATGAAGACTTGAATCTAGGCCTTTCACAGTAACTAAATTGTCCCAGAGGTTACTGCAATAAATGACAATGTTGTTGTCTTGAGACCATTTTCAAGTCTCATAGCAGTAATTGTATAATAATGCGAGAACACAATCTCAAAGATTAATGAACTTTAAATTTTAATGAACATTTAACACATGAACCGGAAGAGATTTCAAATATCCAAAACACATAACAAAAAAACAACACATAACAAAAAAATGAAATAAATTACACAGTCTCTGATAACAAAATAATCCTGTGTCACATCAGAAATGTAAAACAGAAAATCATGTATTTCATACAGCAGAGTTTTTATCCAGAACGCATGTAGCTTCTTACGGGTTGGCAACCGAAGTGAGCCAGTTGCATAAACAAATGTCGCCCAGGCTACTTGAGGTAATTTACATTTCTTTTTGATAGAAGTTAAAAATCTAGCTGGATGGCTTGGGCATGTTAGCAGCTAGTTAGCAGTAGCTCTTAGAGTCACAGAACTCAATAATGGTGTCTGCCCGCAACTCAAGCTTTTGTCTGAAAAAAATAAACTACACAGAATATAGTCCTGTCACGACAAAATGTAATACCTGTGATTTGAGGCCGGCTAACATTTTTTTAAACAAATGTAAAACCTTTACAGGCCTTAATGTCTTATGTAAAGGATGCTCAGACACTCAACATAAAGGAAAGTTGAGTTTTATGAAACCATTCTTCAGTTTCCTTCCATCTATGCTCTACATTGTGTTGCTCTCTGGTAAAATTTCACTAAAGTTTGTAACCCAAGAAGGTGTGGAAAAGTTAAAGGGATGTGAATACCTCAGTGACGGTGTCTATTTGTTTGTGTGTGATGGCCTTGCATGGTTTGTGTTGTGTTTGGTGCAGTTAAAAGGGTCGTGGTGCTGTGATGTTGGCGAACATGAGGTGATTAAAGTTGGGGTCGGTTTTCGGTTTAATTGGACCGCCTCAGGTCCCGTCCATCGTCTTTCTCTGTCAGCATGACTGCTGCATGTTTTTACTGACCCGTTTTACTTCCTGCTCGTTAATTTTCCTCTCTCCGTCCTTTTCCTAACCGCCCAACTCTTCCTCTTCCTGCCCCTCTGTATTCTGCTCTCCTCAGGTGGACTCCATGGATAACTTCACCCCGTCCAACACTCCGTCTCGGGAAGACGACCCCAAGTCCCACCTCAAGTCGCATTCCCGTTCCCCTTCCATGGCTAGCGACATGGAGCCGATAGAGGTCAGATAATCCGACTTCTTTTAGCCAAGTCGCCCCCGGGAATTAGACAGGAATGCTTGGCACGCACAAAACACTTCCAAATATCCTGACGAACAATTGTCAGAGGCATAAATAGTGTCTGCAGCTCACAGTGCTGCCACTGTTGCCTCAGTCATCCACTATGAATTACAGGTAATTTAGTTATGGAGAAGAATCCTGCAGCACAATAACAGCAAAAGAAACAATATCTAATGGAGCAAATCATCATTTTTCTGCTTAAACTTTTTTTTTCTTTTGGTTTATAATAGTTTAGACGTTATTGAACTGGAGTTCAGAGCCCAGTCCAACTCGACTAATTAACTTAAATTATACATGCAAAGTAAACCTGACGTTTTAATTTTTATTTCTCCAAGCATTCCTTAACATAACTACAAATACATTAACAAACTTGCATGCAAATTTGCAACAAAAAAAAAATATATATATAATACAATAAAGTAGAATAAGAAAAAGGATGAGTGGCGTTCACTTAACATGTAAATAACTCCAATTGAGTTATTTTAATAAAAATTTTACTGCTTTTGTTTTTGGGCCAACATTTAAGTCAGTAAGCTGTTTAAATGCTTCCATTTATAGCTTTAGATGAACGTCTCCAGCTCCATCTTGTTGCTTGTTGTGAGTCGAGCGCACATCATCTGGGATGTGTGATTGACGGGAGCGGAGCCGCTTGTTTCATCTGATTGACTTTTGCACCTTACTTTTTGTATTTCCTCAACATAATTCAGGCATAAATCCAAACTCTGTATTGAAGAGATCATTCATTTGTGTTTAAAGATATTTCTGCTTTGTTCTGCAGCTGATAGACCACCCAGGCCGAACTGTTCAGACCCCCACCATGCGTTCAGGAGGTTACGGCAGCATCGGACGCTCCTCACCAAAGGTTAGGCTGTTTTTTGTTTTGTTTTTTAAGGAAACAATCTAGGATCTATCTCGGCTGAAACTTTGATAAACACCGTTTCTCATGTCTGCCTCCAACAGCCCAAAGCACATCAGTTTGTTGTCAAGTCCTTCAACGCGCCCACAAAGTGCAACCAGTGCACCTCCCTCATGGTGGGGCTCATCCGTCAGGGCTGCACCTGTGAGGGTAAGGAAAACCGGAAAACACAACCTGACCATAAACAGGGTTCAGATGGATCCTCAAATCCTTAAAAACTCTTGAAATTCAGTTAGATTTTTTCACAGTTTGGAAAGAGTTTGATTTCTGTTTTGTAATAAAATGCAATCTAATGCTTGATTGAAATCCTAAATTTGAAAAATGTTATTTACGGTTGAAACCAGATGTTTTTATACACAATAAAAATATAGACATTGTTTTTCTCACAGTCCGAAGTTAAATCAGAGTAAACTTTTAGTTGGAGTTATCACGATAATTTGTTTGGTAGATACCAGAAAACATAGCAAGAACGTTTTAGGATTTAGTGTTTAAGCTTTTAATTTGAACAGGAAGCTCATTTACCTTGGCATGAACATTGACATTTGGATTGTTTCAATGTAATGAATACTCTGTATGCATAATGTCTCAATGACCTATTATTCTGTGTGAAAGAAATTAAGTTTGTTTTCCATATTTTTCTTAAATAATATGGTTATAGAAAATGTGATTTATTTTATTTTGTTACTGTTTTGTTTTCAGAGCACTCAGATGTATCGGTTGTGTTAGACATTTAAAAGCATAAAATGTTATTATATTTTAGTTTACATTGTCCCATTGTCTGTAGGTTGCATAACACTAACACAAGACATTACTAATAACAGTAACAAATTATATCATATAACAGTGATTTATGTTTTTTTTTTAGTTCATCTCTATTTTTGTCTCCAAAATGTGATGCTGGAAAAGTTTGAAAATTCACCTTGAAAAGTGCTTGAATTTGACTGATTTTATACGTTTTGCAAGTTGAGAATTTGATGCATCTTCATGTTTTTGCTTTGTGCTTTTCGTTTGTGTTCAGTGTGTAATTTTTCCTGCCACGTAACTTGTGCGGACAAAGCTCCAGCTGTGTGCCCCGTGCCCCAGGATCAGACCAAGGGTCCGCTGGGCATTGACCCCCAGAGGGGCATCGGTACTGCGTACGAGGGCTATGTGAAGGTCAGTGATGTGAGAAACCGGAATCCCACAGAGCCGACCTTTTTCCTGAAGCTGAGCTCTGCCCCTTCTGCAGGTTCCCAAACCCACTGGAGTGAAGAAGGGCTGGCAGAGAGCCATGGCTGTGGTGTGCGACTTCAAACTGTTCCTCTATGAGCTGGGCGAAGGGAAGGCCACCCAACCGAGCGTCGTCGTCAGCCAGGTGTTGGATATGAGGTAAACCGACTGAGACGAGGACAACAACAATATGAGTTCCAGTACCATGACCAAAGTCACCGTTCAGAACAGAATCAAACCTAATTACTAAATATAATATAAGTACATGTCAGTAGGTGGCTTTTCCAAAACACACTTAGTTCAGACTAATTGTCACTGAATCACGATGCACCCAGAACTGGACCTCCTTCGTGCAGGGATGGGATTGTTGCTGACCAGTTTTCAAGAGCTCTAGCTGCAAGTTTAAATAGAAGAAGCTTTGACCTGAGTGTGTAACCTTTGACCTCTGTCTGTCACACAGGGATGAGGAGTTTTCAGTCAGCTCAGTTTTGGAGTCGGATGTCATCCATGCCAGCCGCAAGGACATACCGTGCATATTCAGAGTGAGGGGCTGTTCTGCTGCTTCCGTCTTAAATCGCTGTTTGAATGGTACGTCTTCTGACCTTTGACCTCGGCTCTCTCTGTCTCTCCAGGTGACAGCGTCCCAGCTCTCCCCCTCCAGCAGCCACAAGGCGTCCATCCTGATCCTGGCCGACAGCGACCAGGAGAGGAACAAGTGGGTGTGTCTGCTGAACGAGCTGCACCGCATCCTGAAGAAGAACAAGCTGAAGGAGCGCTTCGTCTACGTCCCCAAGGAGGCGTACGACTGCACCCTACCCCTCATCAAGACCACCCAGTCTGCTGCTATCATAGGTGGGCCAATAAAGATTCCTACTGTCAGACAGTTACAGAACTGGAGTCCTCTGTTTTTTATTTTTACGCTGTGGGCCCTAAAATGGCAGTTTTTCTCCGTTTAATCTGCCTTCAGATCATGAGCGCGTCGCCCTTGGCAACGAAGAAGGCCTCTTTGTCATCCATGTCACCAAAGATGGTAAGATCACGCTAAGATTATCATCATTCTGGTTCATTCACCTCTGAACTGGTAGGATGAAGAGGATGTTTGTCCATCCTTAAATTGTCTTAAATACATTTAAAATTTCAGCTTTGTAATGGAAACACTATTTAATCTCATACATTTTATGTAGGTTTTTTTGTGTTTTTTTTAACCTCACGGGATTTTCCGTCAGCCAATAGTTTGAGTCGCATGCAGACAACTTATGTGTTTGATTTACCCGTCTCATTGGTCTTAAATTTGAACTTCAAACTCATCCGAGTTGGTGAAACCTGCAGAAGCCCTGATGAAGCCTTCCTTTTTTTGTAGAAATAATCCGTGTGGGAGACAACAAGAAGGTCTACCAGATCGACCTGATCCCCCAGGAGCAGCTGCTAGCCGTCATCTCGGGCCGGAACCGCCACGTCCGCCTCATCCCCACTCAGGCGCTGGACGGCCGCGAGACCGAGTCCAACAAGCTGGCCGAAACGAAAAACTGCCAGAGTCTGGTTTCGGGGCCGGTCCGGAACGGCAGCCTCACCTGCCTCTGTGTGGCCATGAAGAGTAAAGTCATCTGCTACGAGGTGAGGAGGAGTCGGACTGGCTCTGGACGATCCGCACTGCAGGAGCTGAAGAAACACTTCCACATTATTCTTAAAACCTATATCAACAAAGTGTGGTTGAGGCTACTGCTAACTAGCTGCTAATGTACCTGTCCTACCTAGCTTAGCTTTTCTCTGCCTTTGTCATGGGCATAATGCCAGGTTCACAGTTTTTGCTGTTCTTGATTGTAATGAAGCAACTGTTCCCTGTAGTTTAGTGTTTCCAGTCTAAGATTTTATTAAAGGTAGCATTAAGGTTTTAAAACTGTTACATTGACTTGCTGAAGGCTGCAGATCCCCTGATCACATTTTTTATGCAATTAACTAAAGATGTTATCAAACTATACAACAGTGAACCCATGTGATCATGGGAAGCACTAATTTATTACTCTCTTTTCTCACTTTTGATTATTTTACACATGTATTTACTTGATTTGTTTTGTTTTTTTCTTGGAAGAGGGAATCCAGCAAAATGAGGCTGAACATTTCTTATCTTTAATTCCTGTTATTCTCTCTAAATCATAGTATTTTTACAATTACAATGAAATACCAAAAAATAAATAAAAGTGTATTCACTGGAAGTATTTCTGCTAGCACCTATGCTATTCCAGTGAATACTATGCTAGTATTCACTGGAAGTATTTCTGCTAGCACATATGCTAATATAGCAGATGACATATGCTATGCAGATGTCACTGCATGCTATGGATCATGCAGTGACATCATCAGGTTTATTTTGACCCTGAGCTCATGTGAAGCTGAAGACTTTTTTTCCGTCCTGCAGGTGAATAAGGGGAAATCGCGCCACCGGGTGCTGCGGGAGCTGCAGGCCCCGGGGCCCGTCCAGTGGATGGGTCTGCTCAGTGAGCGTCTTTACGTGGGCTACCAGTCCGGCTTCACGCGCTACAGGTTTTCTCATTTTGGATTACAGTGCCTCACACACACGCGCGTCTTGAATCCATCAAAGTAACCTGATGCTGTCCGCAGTGTCCATGGCGACGTGTCCCCGGTCAGCCTGCTGCACCATGAGGACCACACCCTGGCCTTCATCCCGCAGCAGAGCCTGAGCGCGCTGTGCGCCGTGGAGATCTCCAGCAAAGAGCTGCTGCTGTGCTTCAGCTCCATCGGCGTCTACGTAGACTCTCAGGGTCGGAGGTCACGGCAGCAGGAGCTCATGTGGCCGGCTCATCCCAGCGCCGCCTGTGAGTTGAACTGGCCTCAAACTCAAACAAAAAGATTTTTTTTAAAAAGAGAAAAAGCTGCTTCCTGTAGCTCACTGTCTTCTTGTGTCCAGGCTACAACGCCCCCTACCTGTCGGTGTACAGTGAGAATGCTGTGGATGTGTTTGATGTGAATACCATGGAGTGGATCCAGACCATTCCTCTGAAGAAGGTCTGTGTCTTGGGCGCCATCTGGTGGAGAGAGAATAGTGTCACCGTCTCAGTGTAAATGAAGACCAGTTTCTCTTCTTCTGCTGCTGCTGCTTTAGGTGCGACCTCTGAATGTTGACGGATCTCTGAACCTGCTGGGCCTGGAAACGGTGCGCCTGATCTATTTTAGAAACAAGATGGCTGGTAAGAGCGCTTTAAACACTTCCTATTGACAAGAAAACATCTTGCAGCAAAATTCCTTGGAAAAGATTGATATCTCACAATATTCCATATTTATTCACCTTTCAATAACAAACAACAGTATTTTACTAAGATTTATCACTGAAATAGAATTATGTTTCAGTTCCTATTTTTTGGCAAATAAAAATAAGCTCCCTTTACTCTGATACCCCTAAACAAAGACCACCACAATTACTACAATAGATAGTAAAATATTTAGTCTAGCTTTGTGTAATTTAATCTTAATAAATTCAGCTTTTCAGAGGTTTTTCTTTGGCCAACAAAGTAAAAATCAATCGATGGCGGAAAAAATCTGGAAATAGACCTTTTCTTTTTTTTTTTTACAAGACAACAGTCTTTTTATGTTTTGGATCTTTAACATCCTTAGACAAAGAGATTTCACAAAAAACAGAGAGGGTAAAACTAACACAGGAAAGTTTTCACTCTATTCATGTCTGATTATGTAAAGTGTTGACTCTTTTCAGTTTTCGTGAAGATAAAGTTAAAAACCAGGAAGTGTTTCTAGTGAATGTCACATAAAACCCAATAGGGGTTTCAAGTTTTAGGGGAGGGAGCAGTGAAGTGAAGGAGTTGGTGTCTGAGTGGTTGGCCAGCAGTGAGGAAGACTCCTGCTTTGGTGTTTCAGAGGGGGACGAGCTGGTCGTCCCGGAGACGTCAGACAACAGCAGGAAGCAGATGGTGCGCAGCATGAACAACAAGCGGCGCTTCTCCTTCAGGATACCAGAGGAGGAGCGGCTGCAGCAGAGGAGGTAGCGCCCGGCTCTGGTTCTGATCGGTGCGTCTGCTGTTTTCGGGTCCTGTCCGCTCACCTTTGCTCCTGTGTCGTCATGGTTACAGAGAGATGCTGCGAGATCCAGAAATGAGGAACAAGCTAATCTCCAACCCCACCAACTTCAACCATGTGGCCCACATGGGACCAGGAGACGGGATCCAGATCCTGAAAGATCTCCCCATGGTACGAGCCTGCGTGCACACACACACACACGCACGCACGCACGCACGCACACACACGCACACACACACACACACACACACACACACACACACACACGCACGCACGCACGCACGCACACGCACACGCGCACACGCACACGCACACACACACACACACACACACACACACACACCAACCACAGGCAAACACACTGCAGAGCAAGAGTTTTCAAAGTGAAGCTCAGGGCTGTTTGTGACATCCAGACAGATTTTTTTTTATTTATTATTTTTCTGCAGCCTTCTTCTTCTCACAATTTAAGAATAAATTAGGACAAAAGTAAATCAAAATTGTACAAAAGTGTTAGATGGAACACAAAGTGATCAAAAAGTTTTTATTGTCATGGTAACTGGGACCACATCCAGTGCACCCAAATCTGTTTTTAATAGCCGTATTAAAAGAACAGTGTCATGTAAATTTGACCTTTTAGAGCATTACATCATGTTGTATCATTATACCCTCATCAAAAACATACATGTAGTGTTGCTTTGATTCTTCTGTGCATGTTTGCATGTAAAAGTTTATTAGAGAAGCACTTTTCACAGATAAAATTACAAAGTGCTTCACAAAACACACAGGAAAAGCACATCAAACCATGGAAAATGCAAATAAGATTGTGATCAGGACTATATATATATATATATATATATATATATATATATATATATATATATATATATATATATATATATATATATATATAAATAAAGTGACTTTACAGCTTGGCAAAACATGTAAGGAGTCTTCAAATGAAGACTACATCCTGTTGTTGTTGCTGAGAAAAGACTAAATATGTTTCCAGTTTTCTTCAGTTGAATACAAAATAATAAGTAACCTGAATGCCTTTCATTTATCAAAGAAAACACGCAAAAAAACATTTGAAGTTTGGACCTACAGTCCTGTCCTTAAAAAATCTGATTATTGTTTATTCCAAATAGTTAATGCTTATGTTAATGTTTAGTTTTTAAAAATATTTATTTATGGCGAGAAAAGGTTTTGGACACTCCTGCTGCAGAAGCTTCTTCTTCATAGTCTTGTTCTCACTTGCACCAAAAAAAACAAAGCAACTTGTTCACCGCTGGAGCTGCTCCGTCTTTCACCATGTAGCTACAGACAGAATGAAGGTCAACTTGTTATGTTCAGATCCAGTGTGTGTGTGTGTGTGTGTGTGGGTGTGTGTGTGTGTGTGTGGGTGTGTGTGTGTGTGTGTTAGTCTGAGCATGCTGTGCACTCACTGCCGCCCCTTCTCCCCCACATTGCACCCCCTCCCCCCTCCTGCTGCGTTTAAAGCAGAATGTCCGTGTTCAGGAGACCCGGGCGGGGTTCAGCGGCTCTGTCAGCATTCCCTCCATCACCAAGAATCGGGCGGAGCCGGGGCGCTCGATGAGCGCCAGCAGCGGACTGGGCATACGTGAGTATCGTGTTTCCAGATGTGGTTTCAGCGTGGTGCCTTATGCTGACGTGTTTTCCTCCGGGTCCAGGCTCGTCGTCTCAGAACGGCAGCGCTCTGCGCAGGGAGCTGTCCGGGGGAAGCTACGGGTCCAAACGCCAGACCATGACCTCGCCCTCCGAGAGCTCCCTGTCATCCGGCGGGGGGATGGACTGCGGCGACGCTCCGCTCTCCCAGTTCGACAGAGAGGTCAGTAGGCGGGCTGAACCCCGACATGCAGCCGCATGGGGCCGGTACTACAACATCTGACTCATTCCAGTCTGGACCCATTGAGACTGAAGCTGCTTTAACTAACCATCCAAAATAATCATTCTTCAGACGCATCAGAGTCTTTATGGAAACCAAACCAGCCGACTGTGTTGAGCTCTTTCACATGTTGTCACCACCACAAACTCCAGCCTGTTAGATTTACATGATGGCTCAGCAGAGGACTGAACAATGCTGGCGGAATTTGTGAAACATTTGATTTTAAAATCCTTTTATGAAAAGACATACCTCCAGTATGTCATGATAGTTTTTGTGATTCTTTTTTTTTTTTTATCAAAATGATTTTGTGGTGCAAAAACCTACATTAATAGATACATTTGAGTATGTTTTTACTCACCATATAGATCACTAACTAGATTGGCATCTAGCGGGAGTAAGAAACGCTGCCACCTGCAGGTGGGAGTTAGCGGTCGCGTCCAGTGTTTTTGAGCATTTTTATAGAAAATGTGCAATAAACTTACAATTCAGCATGAACATACAAAAAGAACCTGAATCTATTGGTTTTGTGTGAATTTTCACAATCACAGACTTGCTAATAGAGGAGGGAGTGAAGTGAGGTGTGTCTAGACTAGAGATCTGCAAACTGTGGCTCTGTGGACATCCCACAGTGGCCTTTAATAGTTTGGCAAATAAATAATTTGCAGAATCTAACTATATACATATATATATATATATATATATAACAGTGGAGCCTGTGGTCATCGGGGCAATCGGGGCAGTAACCCCCAAACTGGAGCGATGGCTACAACTGAGCCCAGGGACATCTCAGTCCTCTCGGGTGAAAGACTGATCACTTCAGCCCTTTTTTATTCTTTTGCATGGAATACATTCTGCATTCCACTGAAGAATGACAAAATAAGATTGATTATTTTTCACAAATATCAACATCCTATTACTTTTTGTAAACATTTGGGTGAAGTTTGTGTCTGTGAGGTGACGTCTGTGAAGGAGCTCTGGGTTTTCTGAATCCTTGTGTGAGGCGCAGTAGTTCTAGACTGAGACCATGAACGTTCCCCTCGCAGAACCAGGGCCTCCCTCAGACTGGTTCCCATCAGTCCCAGTCCCCCCAGCAGCTGTTTCAGACGCCCCACCTCATCCCAGCTCTTCGCTGTTTTAGTCTCTCTGCGATCATAACCAGGTTGTTGCTATGGTAGCCGGCCAGCGTCTCCCCTCCTGCCTGTCCCATCCTCATGAGCCTGGATGTTTCTGCCTCCCATTTCGCCACATTTGTTGCCCCCCCTTCAACCCGACCCAGCTGAGCCCCTCCCCTGACGCCTGCCCCCCCTCCCCAGCATGTTGTCTGGGTGCTGAGTGTGAACTCTCCTCTGCAGTGGCAGGCGGTCTCGCCGTCGGAGAAGACCCCCGATCTGAAAAGGGCTTTAAGGACCCTGCTTAGTAAGATGAAGGTAATGTGTTCAAGCTGCAACGACAAACACACAGAAGCGAGAGAGCACCGTGTTGCTGATCACACACACACTGACACACACACACACATATGTATGTGTGTTATCACTGGAACTACGCCGCCTCCCCTCCCTCTCTCTCTCTGCACCATCAGGCTTCTGTTGTGACAACGCCGCTTCTCATTGCTGAATCACAGCATGTGTGCCTCCATACCGCCCCCTGGTGGCCTGCTCATGTTCCCAACCAGGATAAAGCAAAGCTTAAGTTGGGTCTTCTCAGAGTTTACTGGCGAAATGAACAAATCCAGATGAAGGAAGTGTGAAGTAGACTGGTTGGTAGTGAGGTTGCATGCTTTGGGTTAATCCTGCTGCACGTTCTGTTGGTACATTACGGCACAAACACTTTCACTGCAAAAACACAGAATCATACCAAGTATTTTGTCTAGTTTTTACTGCAAATATCTTAACACACTTCAATTAAAACAAAACCAAACAAAAAGTAACTTTCCTGCAAAAACTAGAAGCTTGTTTCAGGTAAATAGTTATTAATATTATTGAAAAAATGTTCGTTCCATTGGCAGATTACTCCACTTATAACATGTGAAAAATGTCTTGTTAGAAGTAAAATCTGTGAGTTTTTAACTAATATTAATTATTTAATTAAAACAAGCTTATATTTCTCATGGAAAAGTTACTTTTAAATTAGTTTTGTGTTAGCTGAAGCGTATTAAGATATTTGTAGTAGAAACTGGAGCAAACTTGGTAAGATGGAGTTCCTGCAGTGTTTTCAAGCTGCTCCACGGTGTGTTGTGTTGCAGTCACAGTCGGATCTGTGGGGGTTTTAGTGAGAGTTTAAACCAGATCAAATCAGGAGGATGACATCACTGACCTGACGACAGGAAGTAGAATCACACACACACTTCAACCCAGAAGTCAGTCACTTCCTGTTTGGCCCAAATTGTCCCGTTTTCAGAGTCGGTCTGAATTTATTGGTAATTTCTTGGTCTCCTGCGAGTCGGACTGTGTGATGAGTTCAGGGTGAATCGGAAACTTTCCACTCCTCCATCATCGGCTCCAGCCTGCATGTTTGGTTTCTGCTGATGCCTCCTGGTCAGTTGAGGTGTTGATTTGCTGGTGAAGGGTTGGACTGCATCCCTCACAGCAGATCAATGAATCATGCTGAGTTGTAATCGCCACGGTAACTTGGGACTTTGGTGATAGGCCAACACTGTGAGGCATTATTGTGAACAGGAAATGATGTGCAGTTTGTGCAAATAGACAACTGGGAAGTAATATGATCTCTAAATAAAGTCTGGACTTTTACGAGGCCATTGTAACACAATGGTCCGAATTAATTAGTCATGATAAATCAAGTGTTGAAGTAATTGTCAACTCATTTAGTAAGTGATTAATCATTAACTGTGTAGACACACAGGAATACTGTCACTGCAGCATTCCTGTGCAAAACATAAGATGTTTTATTTGCATAAGATGTTTTAATTTATTTGCATCTTTTAATATATTTTTAATGTTGTATAAAAAAGGCTTATGTGGCCAAATGAAAAATCTGTAGAACATGTCCATTTTATTTTAACCGATTAATCGATAAGTTGATAGAATAATCAATTACTAAAGTAGTCCTACAGAAGCTGCATGTTTCCTGCTCGAAGGTGAAGCTCTGCACCTGGCTTGTCCTCCATCCTCCATTCCATGGCACCCCTGGAAAAAAATAGTTATCCCCACAGCATGATGGTGCCATCGCCGTGTTTTATGGTGTTTCCAGGCCGATATGTCGCGTCAGATTAGAGCATCTTCTTCCACGTTCACTGTAGACTGCGATCAGTTTCGCTGGATTCTATTTTGGGGCGTCAGGCTAAATGGGGTTGAGAAGCTGAACTCACCACATCAGGTGTGATGAATCCTTCGAAACGCACGTTGTTCACTGTTCTGCACTGCTTTATGTTGGTCTGCCACACAAAATCTCAAAGTTAAAGTTTGTGGGTGTCAAAATGAGGAAATGTTAAAGGGGGTGTGAATACTTTACACCATAGCAACTTTCATAAGTCATAACCTAAAGTCATAAAATGTAAAGTTTTCACACCACAAAAACACAAAATATCACCAAGTTGTCTAGTTCCTAGAACAAATATCTTATCACGGTTGAAATAAGACAAAACTAAGTTTTTTTCTTAATATTGATGAAAAAATATTAGTTCCCCTTGCAGATTATTTTACTTATTTTTTTTCATCAATATTAAGGAATATTGGGGAATATTAAGTAACTTAATATTTTGCTGTAAAGTAATTAGCAAGTTAATCTTGCCATATTTCAAATTTACTAGATATTTGCAGTAGAAACTACAGCAAATATTTGTAAGGTTTTGTGTTTTGCAGTGTATTTTGATGACAGATTCTAAATCTTAGCCCTACTTCTTGTTGTTGTTTTGTTTTTTAAATACATTTTTAAGTCCTCCTCTCTCTCTTTCCTCCACTTCAGGACTCTGACTCCCCCCGTCACTCCACGGCCTCCAACAGCTCCACCTTCAGCAGCCCCCCCAGCCCGGCGTCCCCACACAAGACCAAGTCCCTGTCCCTGGAGAGCACAGACCGGATGGGCTGGGACACATGAGCCCTCCCCACTGTCCCCTCACCCCATTCCTCCCTGACCTCGCCCCTACACCACCCCCTCCTCCCGCCTCCACTGCCCAGAGAACTGCACCTCCCACCCGCCGCTCCCTCCTCCTGACGAACTGCCTCTGGACGTTGCTTCCTGATTGGACGGAAACACTACAAACTCTGGGCCTTTTCGAGGGGAAACCCCCCAAAATGAGAATGAGAGCTGCGCTATGATTATCCAGAATAGACACTGACACTCCTCCCTACCCAGCATAGAGATTCGCATAGAGACGCCAAACTTTACGACACAACAGAAAAAAATAAGAAGCGGATTGTCGACGAGAGAAAATTATTTGTATTTGTACATAGGACCAGCCGGGTTTCAGGGGGACAATTTTAATTTATTTATCGATCTTAGATGGGGAAAGTTACGTTTGCTTCCACGCAACATGAAGCAAATGTTTTCCCAGTCGCTTTTTCTTTTTCCGTCTCTGTCGCATATTATTAAAAAAAAGGAAGCGAGAAGAAAAGGAATGAGTTTTAGTTTTCTCCTGATACTCAGTGCAGTGACTTTATATTTTCTAATTATTGTTATTTTGAGCGTTAGCAAAAAACCTTCCTACTGTGCTACTCTCTTCCTCATTGGTTCATCCAGGGAGGCGTCCTCCGTCATCGTAGCGTTAGATGTTCCACTTTGCTGTGCAACCAAACTGACCAACTCACTGACTCCCATCGCAATGATGTACATAGGTTCAAAGTAGAGTAATATATGATAAGGAAAATACTATAGAGAACTACACGGGGAATGAGCAAAGAAATCCTAATTTGGTTTTTGTTTTGAGTGATTTTGAGTTTTTATTCACACAAAAAGCCATTTTTAAACCACTTTGTTGTTTTTTTTAAATCAGTTTTATGAGTTAGTTTTATATCCTAAGTCTGACACGTTCTGTTGTGTTTTTGGTTTTTGTGTTTCTCTCCTCCACCCCCAATTTACGAACTGACACTACTGCTCAAACTATCTAGTGGAAAATGTGCATTTCTCACCAACCCGCTATCACACATTTATCTGCACTCTTGTACACTGATACGTTGGTTTTACGCAGCAAACGCCTCATCCCTACGGCTCCTCTGGTCGTCCGATGGGCTGTGGAACTGGGATAGAAAAAAGGTTGATCCCTCTACCAATGGATAAGCTCTATTTAACCAAATACGGACAAAAGAGGGACATTTTGGTAACCTGCTTTCTTTTGTCACAGCCGTTGCTTGTTAAAAATGTGCTGAAATGTCAATTAAAAGCTCTTGATGGAAACAGAGCACTAAAACAAGGAATGTAAACACTTAAACCAGCGCGTGACTCCTATGTACTTCTGATTGTTTTGCTAATACTAACTGGGCTGGAGCTATAAACTCACTTGGTTTTGGGGAGATTTTTTGTTGTTGTATTTTACTGTAGCTGTTGAGCAGTTTCTGCCATTTACTTTGCCAGTTTTGAACCCCATTTACTAAAGGAACAACTCATGGAGCATAATCTGACAAGAGCAGAATCTGACAGTAACCTATGTGGATTAGACACAAATCAAACACAATTTTCTGTTATTTAAAACACAGAAACATTCTCAATACTAAAATAGTTTTCTTTTGGATAAACGTAGAATAAACATTCCTATCGTACACAGTATTTTCTCTTTTCCCTCCATTGAGGAGTCCAAGTTGAAGCCTGTCAGGATCAGCACCATATAAGGGAATCAAACATTACATTCTTCAGTGGTCATTCCTGCTGCTTCCCCCTGTTGAAATCCAACAAATTAGCTCTCCATATCTCATTCCAAGTGTTTTGTTTATGGATTTTATTTTCTATTGTGATTTGAAGCTCAAAGCTTATTTTCCAACAATCGGAACCTTTTTAAGCGTGCAGCTCTCCATTTTTTGCCTGCAAGTGGTGTCCGGTAGGAGGGAAAGGAAGCAGACTTTGTTGGGCGGGAGGTGTTTTAACATCGGTCGATATGTTTAAAAAAAAAAAAAACTGACTGATCCCAGATGTTCTGGAGCGAGGAAGGAAATCTCAGGAAATGTGTCGAGGTCGGCCTATGGGACGGATGGCGTGAGTCGATGGGTGGTAGGTGATCCGATGGCCAAAGTGCCGCGGTTTTCTGTGGAGGAAGGCCTGAACGAAATCAAACGCCTTTACATTTCAGTGAGGTCTTATCTACAGTACCTTCTATATTATTTTTGCTCTTTCATATCATATTACACGTTTTTTTTTCTAGGATTGGTTTGTAATAATTTGTACAGTTTTGCATGTTCTAGATGTAATCATTTTGTTTTTGGTTTGTTTTACTTGCTCCTTTTTGGACTGTTTGGGCGTTTTACTGAGGATAACCCACTACAGGTGATGTAGATTCCTTTTTGCACAAAAATATTTAAGGTGTAAGGTCAAAAATAATGTATGGAACTGGCTGCCACACTGATGTGGAGAACTCATATTAACCTGACTCCGATGTATTTCAATAAAGCGGAGGGCTGTTACAAATACACACCCATAGTGTTGATGTGTGGTCATTTCTGCAAATGGATTCTTTAAAAAGCTTTTATTACAAATGAAAAGTTTTTACATCTATAAACAAAATGTCAGTAACATTTACAGTAGCTACAAGTAAGGACACATTTAAACAGACTACTTAGGATTTCACTGTACAGGAGCAATGCCTGGAGGACACCCACCTCCAAATTGCACCTGGGCTCAATTGAGTTGGTTGGTAAGATACCAAAAGAAATGTTATTCCTAAGCTACTTTCTTAGGTTGTAAAGCAGTTGGATTTGTGCTTGGAGCAAGGGAAGGGGACACACACACGCCTCCAAATTGCACCTAAGCTCAGTCCTCCATGTTGCTAAGTGACCAACGTTGACATTTAAGCACTGTTGTCAGGTGGTCCTACAATGTACACACTTGTTCTTGCATGTTGACACCCAAAACTGCAGCAGATGCCTGAGCTAAAGGGGAAAATCAGGCTTTAAATATTTTGAGTGCCAAGATGCCCAGGCTTGAGGACAAAGCTCCTGTCTCATCCATTAAAACCATTTCAAAGTCACAAATTAAAGTAAAAAATAAAATTAAATTCACATTTTGTTTTTGTCAGGCTCAGCAGTTTAGGTCCAACGGTAAGGTTTCGTCTTTGTTTGCAAACCCAGCGACAGTCAGCTTGGAGAGTTTTTTTTTTTGGATCAGCTGGGCTGGCAGATAAAGCTGGAAGACATTAAGGCAAAGATCCAAACGTACTTCCCTTCCTCTGACTGGATCAAAACTCTGGTTCTGGGTCCCACTCTGACCCTCCTTCATTTGTCCCTTCAGGCTGCAGCTCCGTCCTCGTCCAGGATTCGGTGAATCCCATTTCCGGGGACACCAAGGACGGCCTGTGCGGCGCCACTCAGGTCTCTGGTGCTGCTGTGTCGCGATTGGCTGTCCAGGCGCAAGGCGGAGTCGTGTCTGGACAGGCCATCCAGTCGGTTGGTGCTGCAGTGTCTGGACTGGTCGCTGAGGCGGGGCATGCTGGACCCCGTGTACCTGCCGGGGAGAGCCGGGACGCGTTCAGGAACCAACACCCAAACATCTGGAGAGGTGAAGGCGGAAACCCACCTTCCGTCTCTGGAGCGGTGCAGGCTGCCGTGGTAACTGCTCATCTTGGAGCGAGCGCTGCGCACCGATCCGGCCCGGCTGGTGCTGGCGCTGGGCGGCTCATCCAGCATGGCCAGGTGGGTGGAGGAAGCGTGGGTGGAGGTTCCCTGGGTGGACGTGCCCCTTGACTTCCTCACGATGGGCGTGTTGGGGTCCCGGTACAGCAGCTGGGCGAAGTCGGGCTCCTGGAGAACCTGGCGGCTGTCATTGACCATCCCACTGCGGCGGGGCAGGGAGGAGGCAGAGGAGGAGGAGGAAGAGGACGAGGTGAAGGGGAAGGTAGGCAGGGAGAGACGCAGAAGGGTGGGGAGGGACAGGGGGAAGGTGGTGGGGTGGTGGGTGTGGTAGGAGAGGATGGAGGAGTGGGTGGAGCAGGCAGTGGGACAGGGGGTTAATGCTCTGAGTTTGGAGGAGGGGGGGTGCAGAGAGGGGCTTGTGTTCACCAACAACCTACAACTCTGGAGCAAACACCAGAACCAACATGGACCAGAACCAACATGGACCAGAACCAACATGGACACAAGTCTGGGACGAGGGACGACCTGCCTGACGAGGGAGTATTAAGGCCATTGAAGATTGATCCAAATAATAGTGTAATTTTCTGAGAAAACTTAAATATCTGAGCTGCTAAATTTCCTCGAAAAAACTTCTGAGATTCTTCTCACTAATTTTTCATGTTTCGGATGCTGAAATTTCTGAGACGCGCACAAGCTGGAACAATGTTCAGCTTTTGTTGCCGTAGCGTTCGTGTGTCTCGTCCATCACCCATGATGAATGCAAAAAGCTAAATAGCTAGTTGACTAACTAGCATATTACCATCCAGTTAGTGGTAGCATCATCGTCCTCAACTTATAACACAACGACTCGAACCTTTCCCTAACAGAAAAGCCCAACAATAAAATCAATATATTCTAGATTAAATAGTCCTGGCAGGACAAAATTTCTGAAATGTACCCATCATGGTGTCGTGGTGCACTGGGTACGTACTCTTTGCGTCTCTTGCCGTGGAAGAAGCTGGCCCACTCGAAGCAGGTCTTCTTACTGCCCACCCAGAACACGGAGGGGATTCCCACAATCAGCATCATCAGGTACTTGATGAGGAAGAGCGCCAGGTTGGGCCGGCTGGTGCTGTCCACCTGAAAGACAGGAGGAGCTGGTGATGGAGGAGAACCAGACGCATGAGGACCTTTATAGAGAGAAAAAAGCCTCAATTTCTGCCTAAAAACAAGAAAAATGTCATAAAATTTCTAGGAAGAACAAAGATATTTCTGAGCTTCAAAAGTGGAAAAAATTTCTAGAAAGAACTTAAAACTTCTGAGTTTTATTTAAAATTTTTTTTTCAATAATCTCAACATTTTTTGACAGAAATGTACTCAGTTTTTTTCCCATCTACACCATTGTGAAACTGTAAGTAAAATGAAAAAATTTATTGACAATTACATAAAAAAGGGAAACAGATCTACTTTATGAGGAGTTGTGTGGTAGAGCAAAACAATGTAGAACATGATTCATCACTGGAAGGTAAATTATGAATCACATAATAATGAATGTAAATTATGCCAAAAGCAGCGGCTTCGTTATTATTGTTCGTCTACGTCATTTGTGAGCCAGATTTAAGGGCACATCAGAAAAACGTGAATAAAAATAAAACATTTTTTGATAACTTTTTTATGCGGTCAAATCTATGTAATCAATCAAAATGAAAGCTTTAAAGACCCAGCTCTGGTCTGAATACAACTCTTATTTGGTTTTCAAATGCCATGTTTCACCTTCCTTCCACTTCCATTTTGTGTCAACACCTATCAAGGCTCTCTGTATGTAACATTTCACACCAAGAAAATCAAATGGAAGGATTTTCATTCAAACTTCCATGTTGGTTATGTCTCTACTGTTTTGTTTTCAATCTTTTTCAAAAATGCCAAAACCCAAAAGAAGGTGCTCAAACTGAATCGACACACTTGGCTCTGAATCATAGATCAGCTTTTTAATGGGACAATATTCAGTAGGAAAGCGGCTGCGCTGCAGATTTGTATGAAGAGCTCGATGATGAGGCGGTGAAGCTGCTCGCGCAGCAGATACAGGCTGCTGTGTGTCAACATCTATGTGCTCTACTTCTCCACTATCAGCTGAACGTCTCATGCTGGAGGCAGAAACAATCAGCAGCCATCTGCTCTGATTTGACGGTCGACTCTTGCGCTCCTGCCTGAGAAGGGCGGTTTCTCTGCGTAGCGCGTTGGAGCCTTGACTGACACATCAGGTCATTGAGTCTGACAGAAGGAGACGCGCGTCCTGCCTCTGGTCGTTTCTGCTCCGGTTTCTGCAGCTCAGACTCACAGACACGCTCATTACAGCAGGGATAAGACCGTCATTTAGATAAATATAACATATATTTACTATTGGAATTTTGTTGTCATTTTTAAAGAAAAACTGACTTTTATTCTTAGGTTTCAAAATACAGAAAAATGTGAGACTTTGTAGAAATCGGATGTCCTTCTGTGGAATGTTGACATTTTAGAACCTATAAACCAAAACTTTAATGTAATAACAGTCTTTTCTTTGTGAAAATTCAATGTAATTATAACATGACAGAAAATTTAAACCCGCTCATGTCAGCATGTATTTACTATATCAGTATTAGGTAATGGCATTATGTTTTTAAATATTATTTTAGCCATCAAATCAAAGCGGTTTTCATCAGCCGGATTACGTAAATATGAAAAGATGTTCAATTTTATTTTACATTATAACATACTCATAGAACGCAGAGCAGGTTATTTATCATTTTAAGGGGTTTTATTAATATATTCTGCCACAACCCAGCAGCATTTCTACTGTGTTGTTTACGTTCACATGTGGAGAGGTTTGACCCCATCGACCCCAGCAGAAACACACGGTGGATTACGACGGCGTTTAAGGCACAGATTAAACCCGGGACTCATCTGAGCATTAATCCAGTGTTCATAATATCAAGAAAACAACGACAGGCGCTCAGGGAGGACCGGCCAGGCGATACCGTCTGATGCCGTTCAATTATTAACAGCTTTGCTATCTGCTGCCGCGGCGCTGAGGCGAACGGCAGATCCCACGCGGAGGACGGCGCTGCTCACACACATCTCCACCCGGCTGCTCCGCCGCCTGCCTCCAACACGAGCTTCACGTCAAACATCCCAGCTGCACAGCAGAGCAAACCCACACAAACAGCCCTGGGCGGGTCGGTGTCCATACAACAAGGAAGGAGTCAGATGCTTGATGCTGTTAAATGGCTTATTACTAACTTTATTAATGCTGTCCTATAAAAAACTGAATTGTGCAAAACCTGCTGTATGTTTAGGATCTCCAATGTTCTAAAGATCCCTTTTCGAAAACCTTCCGATTATTTTTGTTTGCATCAAGAAAATGTTACATGTTTCATTTATTATTCAGACAAGAATTAATAAAGAACAAGAACAAAAAAACAAATGATTTTTTCAACTCTTTTTAACTTGTTTTGGCCTTTGGGGCAAAACGTTTATACGATAGACACCACCCCAATAAAGTAGCGGGCAAACGTCAGTTCCTCGCGGGTAAAATACATGTTGGGACACGGGGGGGAGCAGTCTCGAACGCCCAGGAAGGAGTAGCCGAGTTCTGGCTGGAGTATAAAGTCCCTCCAGATCATTTTACCTGTTTGAAAACATGTCTAAATATTAGTAAATCCTCTCATTGTGATGCTGCTCTGAATAAATAATGAGCTTTGGGGATTAGAACAGCCTAGTTTTTATGAGCACCAGAATAGTGACAGACTTTCTCTGACAGTGAAGTGTTTTTAACACACAGTCATGGGGTTACCTTATATGGGCAGGGGATGTGGTAGTCTCTGCACTTCTCCTGCACCCAGGTGGTCTCCCAGACGGTCCGGTAGCTGCTCTCATACAGGTAGCAGGCCACGACGGTCAACAGGGGAACCAGGTAGAGAACGGAGAACACGCCGATGCGGATCATGAATTTCACCAGCTTCTCCTGGTTCTCCTTCTCCAACGGGATCTCCATGCGGACCCGGTTAAGGGCGGCGATGCCCGCCAGCAGGAGCACAACTCCCACCTAGGAGGAGAGAAGCAGGAAGGTTTACATGAGCTAACACTGTCGCTGCAGCTGCAGCAGAAGGAAGTGTTGCATTTACAGGGTTTCTGCAGGTTTCAGAAAGTTCATTTTAAGATTTTAAGACCTTTTTAATGCCACCATGAATGAAACTGAAGAGTGAACAAACTATAACTACAGAGGATAAGAAGGGATGCTGCAGTATTACAATCAAACCGTAGCAATCCAAACGTTCTGTAAGAAAAAATATTTTCATACCCACAACATTTCAGACCTGTGATTGCCATATTTAATACCACCTACATTTTCTTGAACAGATTTAAGACATTTTAAGGAGTTAAGTTTAGATTCACCAAGCTAGCAAGTGTGTATTAGCAGCTAGTTAGCAGTAGCCTTAACTGCCTCGATGAAGATGTATGAGCTGTGATTCATTTATTTAAGACAACTTAATTTTAGTTTTATGAATTTAAGTAATTTTCAGAAATTCAAATGCATGAATTGAATTCTTTGTAAGGATGTGTGGGATTCCTGATTTACTTCCTCAGAAAAAGAGCAATAAAATCCATCATGGTTTGGTAAAAGGGTCTTCCTCACCACCACGTCCAGGCCCAGTGGGGCCAGCAGGAACCAACGCAGCGCCGTCAGGTTGTAAAGCCCCACAAAGCACACGCCGCTCACGCTGTCTCCCTCTATCTTGTTCATAGCGAGCAGAGTGACGGTGAGGACACCTGGGACGCCCCAGGCGCAGGCGTGGAAGAGGAGCGCCTTCTTCTCTATGGCCTCACTGCCCCACTTAGGAACAGCTGCTAGGAACCAGGTGATGGTCAGTATGACCCACCACACACTGCCAGCCATGGTGAAGAAGTACAGCACCATGAAGAGAAGCGTGCAGGCCTAGGAGAGAGAGAGACAGATTTTTAATCAGCATGCAGGAGGGACATAAAGACAACGGAGAACACAAGGTAAAGATCTGACCTTATTATGGGATCCTTGAGTCACTGTGGACGCCCTAAATCTACCAGGACTCGCCGCATTACAGGAAACTCTGTCCTCCAGCAGGAAGCCGAGGAAGAACACCAAGGACACCATCATGTAGCAGACGGCGTAGAAGATAATGGGCCGCTCCGGGTAGCGGAACCTTGACACGTCGATGAGGAAAGTCAAGAAGGTGAAGAGTGTCGCTGACAGGCAGACGATAGACACCACCCCGATAAAGTAGCGGGCAAACGTCAGTTCCTCGCGGGTAAAATACATGTTGGGACACGGGGGGGAGCAGTCTCGAACGCCCAGGAAGGAGTAGCCGAGTTCTGGCTCGATTTTGAGTTCCCGGGGACACCAGAAGCCGTAGTCCCGCTGGACGGAGACGGGGGACTCGGTTGAGTCTGAAGTGGACAGGAGGTCTGCAGGTCGAGGGTAGGGCTCATCGCAGTCTGGGAACCTGAGGGAGGAAGAAAGCAGTTATTCCAGCTGGTGAGCTTTTTTTAAACACAATTATTGCTCATTGAGGTCTGATTGGGCCAAGAGTCCAATAAGTTTCTTCCATTCCACCGGACTTCAAATCAAAACCCAGGGAAGCCAATTAGCTGACCCTGCTAACATAAATCCAGAGAAGAAGAACTGCTGTTGTTCCAACCTGATGCAGTCCATCTCCTCTGGCCAGCTGACACCAAACATGTCCATCAGTTTGTAGCAGTCGCTCCGGGCCTGCAGGCAGAGGCGGCGGCAGGGCAGAGTCATCCGGCCGTACTCGGTGCACACCGGAGCGTAGATGGCACACAGGAACATCCTGAGGTCTGAGGAGCACTGCAGGTTCACCATGGGATGGAACGGCTGCAGAACCAGGCAGAGAAAAAGAGAAGAGTGTCTTGGGCTGTTTTCACACCTGACAGTGTGTCGTCTGTCCAACTTTGGACAGAGGAACCCGTTTACCCATCACCAAGAACCACTGAAGAAAATTACACTGAACTGTTTCCCCAAAATGTCAACAAAAATGGAGTGGTGTCAAATTCTAGTCTCTTGTCTTTGTTTAAATACCAAGAGTAATTTCTCCCGCTAGCACAGGACTCTTTGATTATATTTACCCAGAGTGCCCTGCGCTATAGTACACTTCCTGTTTTTTGAGCATATGTGCATATGTGAATTGGCATTCACATATGCATTTGAACCGCCTCAGAGTTCACTTCAACTGAACCGGGACCGAGGTTTGTGGGCAGACCAGAGTTCACTTTTTCGATCCACTTTCACACCTCCCCAAAAGAACCGGACCGTCCAGGAAAACGAACCAGAGTTAGATTAAAGCGGACTAAACAGGGCTAACGTGAATGCACCCTAAAACATATGTGCTGATTTTACAAGGTAAAAAAAAAATACCAGTCTGGTCTCAGGTCACACTGCGCCTCCATCTTCAGGATTCGGACCAAACGAAGGGATCAGTGGAGCAGGACAAGTGACATTTTCTGGAGATGAGTTTATGAAAACAAGTCTGGGCTCTTTCATGATGATCCCCCCTTTGCACCCCAATAATGTCACCACTCCCCTCTCCCCTGTTCTTCCCCCACTCGAACCTCCACAGAGCTCCCTGCGCTGCTGCAGACAGGCCCCTTTGTGTTCCAGGGAGGACCATGCTGTGGCTGACTGACACACACTGACAACATGCGCACACTTGCTCACAAGGAGAACTACCAACGGAAGTATATTATTTACAGGCTGACACACCCACCAAGCAGTGCAGTGATGCTCACACACTGAGAAAATGTGCCAAGAAGCAGTGTGAGTGCAGAATGCCTCACTGGTTTTTAATGGATTCATTTGCATCCACCTACATGTGTCTGTGTTGCATCAAGACTTCTAACCACACCCCAGTCAAATCACAGTCGCACAGCATGTCCCCTCCCCCATAATGTAAAGACAAAAGGCCAGAATGACAGACAAGCCCAGAGAAGAGGGGGATGGGAGGGGTAGCAAATGGCTTGTTAGGATGGATGGGTATTAATCTAGTTAAATAATCGGTCTGATTTCTCTAAGTATCCAGACCTGACTTCCCTCCGCTCATCCTCAGCATGTTTCACGTCTAACGAGACATTTGAACTGTTCTCTGGCCGGCGGTGGAACTAGCACACAACAGGACTTTTAAAAACAAGAATTGGCTGCACTTTTAGATTGACAGTGGATGTCCTCTATTCCACGCCGGGTCAAAATGGTTCTTAATGGTTCCGCTATATACCAATACTGTTGGCAAATGTCCCTTAGCAAGTTGTGGAGAAATCCTAGACTCTCTGCAGCCATCAAGAAGCTTGTGGCAGCATAATTCTAATTGGATATTCTCCAAATATTAAGAAAACATGTCTTTGTGATAGTATTGGAGGAAACTGGTCAATTATAGGATCCATATGCAGAGGAGGAATGCATGAGACTAGCTCATTCCCGTCATGATGCGTGTGAGACATCATTGTCCTGATTTGAGTAAACATCTGGTTGTTGATCAACAACCAGATGTTGCTACTCATGGGAAAGACGAAGACAATGACAGGAAATGATTGGCGGCTGACGGCGCGACATGTTTTTGATAACTTATTGCGTGAACAAACTTATTCATGTGTGACTTTAATGACATTTTTTTATTTAATAGAAGCATCAAAATGTGTTTTTTCAACATTAGTGGAATATCAACAAACATTTGCATACATTTGTAATGGAAAGGTGGGAACTGATCAATTCAGGTTTAGCATCCACAAGGGTTGAGAAGTTGACAAACTCAATCCCACTGAACATTTATGGACAATGTTGAAAAGAAAACGATCTATCCCAGCAAACTGACATATTTAAATGTTCTTGCTTAGCAGGGTAAGAGTAATGATCCTGTCCTGTGCGAATACTTTTGACACGATGCGAGTCAAAAAGCAATTTACAATAAACTGTGGAATCAAATGTTTGTTTTAAAATTCAAGTCATTCATGTTCATGGCAATATGAATAACATGAATGTTATGTTTTTTCTCAACTATCTCTTATGACTACTTGTTTTTTGGTGAAAAAACCTAAATAAATACAATCCAAATGAAGCTTTATTCTCTTGAATCCATCATTAAAACTCTAAAACAACATCTGCAGTACAGAATCCAAGAACAAATGAAGTCGTTCTTGGATTCCTGATGATGAGAAGCATTGTTGCTTCTCATAGCTCCATTTGTTCTTGGATTTGTTCTTAATCTGTTCTTTTATCCCCCAACATCAGATCTGAACAGACTGTTGCCACATTCATTCTTGGCATTTGTCTGCATCATTGGTGTAACATTTTTCAGCCACTCGCATCTAATGGCTTATTGCGAAAAAAGATTCACACACTTGAGGCGCTGAAAGAGGCCAGAGACTGAAAGACGTTTCACACTCCACAGTCAGAACAATCTGCTCTCCCAAGCTTACGTTAACCCCAAGCTAAACATTAGTACAATCATTGTCTTACATGTCATTGCCAGGATTAATCGAGCAGTCAATTGAGTAATCTCTGAGCGACTGAAGTCGCCACGCTTCACTGAGTAACACAGGACAGAAACACACACAGCCAGAGCAGGTCATGACCCAGAATCCTCCACGAAGCAAAAACAACTGTGTAACGTTCAGATGCACCCACCACACCACATCATCACAAATCGCTCTATTTATACTGCAAACAGTCCAGCACCATCAGTCAGGCCCCAACGACTTTACTTTGACTTCACTTTGTGATGATTCTTATTGGGAAATTTGAGTGGAAACAAAAACATAACATGACGAGTAGCATTTTAGCCTACTGTAAAACAGAAACGCTTTTTCCAACCAATTAAATGAGGAAAAACACTTTTATAAAGTAAAGATCAGAAAGAAAATAAAACAGCACTTATTGCAGCAATTATTATCTTAAAATCAGATAAAAAGTCAAGGAAAAAGATTACACACCATTTCTACTGGCTGTTTTAAAGATGCACCAGTCAATGGCTCAATGGTTCAATTCTGAAGACTTTAAGTGCTTTTAATCCAAAGTATACTGCAGATACAAGAATTTACAACAACTTTATAGCTGGCTGGATGGATATTTCAATTGGACGGGGAAGTGTGGCAGAAAATCAAAATTGTCCAGACTTTTCTGGACTGTGGGACCCATACAGAAGAAAACTAGCATGAAACGTTGACATTTATGTTTGTCCCTTTCTAAATTAAGTTTATATCTCAGAAAACATGAAGAGAATGACAGTCTGCTGCTCTTTATAGACATAACTGCTGAGAAATCCTGAGTGTCATTTCAAACTACTAAAAGCGTGTAGATTAGTCTCTGGACATCTCGTACTCGTCAGTAATGCCAACACAAACCGCTCAGTTTGATTTACTGCAGTGACTAGAGCTCACATCTTCATCCCTCTCCTTCGTTTGGCTTCCTGCAGGCTACAGAACAATGTACTGTACTCCACTGAGCCACACTGAGAAGCGCTAGGAGAGACGGTTGAGTAAATATGTAGGCTACTGGGATGATTCACCACAGATCAGGACTCGCATTCAACTCTCGTCCTATTCAGACTATTTTTATACCTCCACCCTTTTATCTTCCAGCTCTTCTTCAGTATCTACAACAAGCTTTAATCCGGTATGAAGCAGTGAGAGCAGAGCCAATCGTGGTGATACCTTAGGCGTATGGTTGGTCACACAACCAATATTTCCAATTATAGATAATTGACACTCCCTCTTATTGATTCACTGGTCAAACTGGAGACCCGTGCTTCGGTAAATGGCTAATAGTTTATTATGGAGATTTTTACTTCAGCATCAGCCTCAAAACAGGGAACTGAGGATGTAATACACATTGCTGCCAACAGGCTACATGCTAATTTATGTACTTGTACATTCAAGAGGGAAAACCATTCTGCTCAAAAAGCTGCAAAGAATTTATTTAATACTATTCAAAATAACAATAAGTGGAGGTTATACACATCATCATTATTATTTTAGAAATAACTTTCATCTTATTTAGACTAATGGGTAATGTAATCTTTTTGTAAATATAGCCAAATTAATTAAAAATAAAACCATTACAATGAACATGAAAGATATGTTCAACCCAGAAAAAAACATAATAGACATTTACATATTGACATCACAATATATATATATATGTTTGCCAAATTTAGTGATATTTAAAAAATATATAGCAATGCTCACTCCCAAAAAAATACAAAAAAACATTGGTATAAACTAATCAGACCTAAACATAAAGCTTGATACAAAGATGTTAACGATTATGTTAACGTTACAGAGGAAACCACAAGCAGACTAAAGAAAAGCTAAACTTAGAGATAATAAAGTACTGAAATAATAAAACAAAAAGAGCATAAAATCTGCTAAATTTAAACAAGTGCTAAAAAACAATAACAATTTCAGCAATTAAATTGAAATAAATTACTAAAAGAAGTTATTTTACAACAATTCAAAGTAAAATCAAAAGTCCAATAGCAGCACAAAGACTCAAAGTCAAAACCTTAGCTTAAGGTTTCACTATTCGTTTCTCTCTGGAGATCACTGCCAATTAACAAATATTTAATTCAGTCCTAATTGAGTTGGAAACAAAAAAACTTTCTCAGATTGATTTAACATCTAAAACACAATGAATCAGTCGCTGGAGAGACACGGCGAACTAAAGCTGTGTCATCATCGTAGCTGTGAAAATTAGTGCTGCGGTTAAATTGCTGCACGGTGCAGAGAGAATTAGCATAATTTCTCCCTCCTCCACTGCAGAGCTCTTCATAACGCCGGGTGGTGAAACCCTCTGATCTTCAAGACGTGAAGAAAAACATCCCTGACCTC